CTCCAGTTATTATTAAAAACTTCCAACACTGCGTGCAGGTATTTAGTTAAGTTTCTTTCTAACTGTAAACTTTCTGTATGGCCGAGTACCACGAGTAAAGTTTAACCCTTCAGACATATCGCCTTCGAGCCACGGTCTTTCCTATCGCGATGAGAAAATCTCTCACAACTTGTGCGCATGCGTCGCCATTACTGCGCATGCGTGTTGGCATACGCGCGATAATTTAGAATAAAATATAAAAACCTAGTATTTAATGTTTTAAACAAATGTAAAATGTATTTTTTATTCATTTTGATTGAAAAGAAAGTAAATCACCATTGTTTATTTTTTTTATTCTGAGAAAATTCTCAACACAAAATTCAGAAATTGCAATAATACAAGTGATTAAACATTTTTTAAATCAACATAACTTAGATTATGAACTTTTCAGTGGGATTTTTTTTTAAAAAAAATATAAACACTTAATGATATTAAGTTTTGGCAACCTAGTTATAGTTCCAGTCATATTATTAATAATTAAATCACATTTTTTTTTAACAAAAATAAAACGCTTTAACATTTTTTTAATTAAGAAACTTAGTTTTTTAAACTCCGTTTAATATAATGATATTTTTATAATTAATATATAAAAATATAATTAATAAATATAATTAACGATAAAGTGATACGTTTATTTATAAAAATATTAATACTTAAACAATTTTTTCATTCAAAAACGTACTTTTTTTTTTAAAACATCAACACAGAAGCATGTTATAATCTATTAACACAGTTTTCCAATTTAAGTTTCATCATTGACATTACATTTATGTTTCGTTTAGTAAAATTTTAACGCTTAGATATGTATTAATCTGATAACACAGCAAATATATTTCCCGTCATTTGAACAACAATATAATAATATTAATAGTAATTGAGCAACTCATATAATTTTTTTTTTCTCAATTATATGGACTAGTTTATCTAAGATATTCATAAATACCTAATACATTTTTTTAACTGAATTTGGTAAAGAATACATCATATTCGAATAATTAGTGTAAATGTTTATTGCCTGGTTGACAATTCGAACAATAAAAAACTGTATATTTCGGACATATACAAACAGAGCACTGGGAACAACTTTTTTTCGTTTTTATGTTTTTTCTTCGTAGACAGTAGTCACATAATCCATCACTTGTTCGTTCATGTGTCACTATAGGTATTCCTCCGACCTTTGAAATGATGCGACGCTAATCCAAGCTTAAGTTTGACATTTGCATCCGTGTTTGTAGATGAGGTTGAAACAATTGTGATGAAAGTTTTTTGATGAAATCTCTTTTAGCCTTCTCTACTTCAGTGTTGGCTTTCCAAATCACGTGGCTATTGATAACAGCAATATTTAAAAAAGAGTATAAAATGACCATGGGCCACCTGTGTGTCTCGCGAGTAACAGTATAGTTTAATTTCATTTCATTCACTGTATCAACAGCTCCTTCGGTTATATTATAAAATGATAAAATTTTAGGTTTCTTTTTATCACTTGTACTTTTATCAATCACAGCATCATTATGTAGAGTTGAAATCAAAAGAACATTTTTTTATTTTTTTGGTACGTATGACATTAACGTACTACAATCTGAAAACAAAAATCTACAGCTACAAATTTCTTGATTTTTAACACATAGAAAATCTTGTGGAATTTCCCTGTTATTTGATGTTATGGTTCCAACAGCTGTTGTCCTATGATTCTTTAATAAATCTAATGTCAGAGGAACTGATGTAACATAATTATCAAATGTTAAATTTCTTCCTCTATTCAGTATTGGTGCAGTAATTCTTTTGACAATATCAAATGCCGAATTAGAGACATCATATTTTCCAGGTGGTTGTTTGCCTGCATAAATTTCCATTTTCACAGTATAAAATGTTCTTGAATCAACAAGAGAATATATTTTAATTCCGTACTTAGTAGGTTTGTTTCGTATATACTGGCGAATTTTGCATCTTCCCCGAAGCTTTCTAACACTTCATCTACAGTTACACACGATCCTGGCACATAATTTTCTCCACATTTAGTATTAAATTTTTCATAAAACTCGCGAACTGCTGCAAGATTATCGATTTTCTTTCTTTCATCCTGATCATTCATGTCGTCTAATTTAAGTGATGATAATAATGTACAAAATCGACCATAACTCATGACTGCTCTATAAAGATCTGGTGCTGTGCCATCAGTTGCCCAGAGTTCTTTTAAGTTCAAGTGTGCAGCTTTTCTCATACCACGAAAAGAAAGCAAGCCGAAGAAAGCACGAATTTCAATGACATTTGTTGGTGTTGAATCTCTTTGACCACGATACAGTGATGCAATTTCTTGCAAATAAATATTTGTATAATTAACTATTTTTTCAATCATGGAATCATCGAAAAACAATTCCCAACACTCTAAAATAGTTTTTGTCTCTTTAGCAACACCTTTCGGTCCAGGTACACGAATAACGAGGTTATGTTTTTTGGCTCTTACTTTGTGGTTAGGTGAGTATTATCCTGAGTATAATTATTTGAGGTATCTTTATTATTGTCTCCAACTCCTTGATCATCTTCGCCTGCTTCACCAGATTCTTCAGACTGCTCAGTGTCAGTATCATGTTCACTATGACGTGATTCAGCATCAGAGAATTGTTCATTGTCCTCGAATTCCATATGAAAATAATCATTTTCCTCTTCTTCTAACCAACTTAGATTCTGCTCCAAATTGTTGTTGATAGGTCTATTATAAAAAATAACTGATAAGTAAACTGTCATCAACTTGAAATTATGTTTTTATAAATAATGATAACTGTTACGCACAGAAAGTACTATAAATAATATTTATCAACTCACCTCATAATAGCAATAACTTTTTACTTCTTATTCGATTAATGAAATATTTAACTTCCCAGTGGGAAGATATAGTAATGGGTCCGATTTTGCGAATCCCGAATTTTGACATATCTCCGCGTTTTAAAGTCGGCAAAGTCGAATACGATCGTTTTCCAGTGGACGTCTGTGTGTGTATGTGCGTTCGGAATTATTTTACGCCTCGATTATCTCGAGAACGAACAATGATATCGATGTGGGACCAATTGCATACGACACGTAATTATGTAACTTAGAACTGATTAGATTTTCAGCAAAATCGGTCCGGCCATTTTCTATGCAGAATCAAAAAACTGGAAAAAAGGAAATTACCTGAATTTGGCGATTTATAAATTATACCATTTTTTAGACAAAATTTCAAGATCATTGCAGAAATATGAATATTAAATGATTGGAATACTTGTATGGATATATAATGACAATATTTTATCGAAAAAAAAAAATTTAAAAAACAATATCAGCAATGAAAGAATTTTAAACTCGTGTCAGGGGATTGAGTAAACAGCATTAAAGACGCTATAATAGTCAATAATATGGAATTGTGTTCATAACAATTGAACATTGTTACTAACAAGTGATTATTGATCATAGTAATATTTAAATAATAAGTTTTAAATTGTTATAAACAATAAAAATAGGGACCCTTTCTATGTATGAGAGTACTTTTAACGCATAATTTTTTCGTTTACTGAAAAAATGTTACCAACCGTATGCCATAAATGAAAACATACTTTTTTCGTGTATAACAATGAAATTCGTTGTAAATAATGAAAAAAAGGATCTATAAGGTACATTCCAATTCTTCTAACGCACAATTTTTTCTTTTACCGAAATAAAGTAACTAATCATATCGAATGAATAAAAACAGACTTATTTCGTTTATAACAATTCCATTTGTTATAAAAAATGGAAACGGGTTCTATTCGATTTGTTTTTTCATTTTTCCCACTGGGAAGTTAGTTGTGTGGACCTTTCGGGTCGCACTCAGACCACTGCAGAGCACTGATATTTTTCTTTCATAATTAAAATAAATTTACATACATTGCACTTTGTTTACTTCTCTAATAAAAAAAAACAATATGGATGATCTCAAACGACATGGACGATCACCAAATGAGCATGAGACGAAGATTACCGACGTATTACGGAAACAGCCGAACAGCTGCAAAACGCCACTATTTTTGTTATCGCATTGAGAAAAAATCTCACACCTTTTGAAAAACTCATTTTTTAAATATTTTAAGAGAGTGAAAAAAAAATTTTTTTAACATTATATGAAAAAAAATCGAATTCTAGGAGGGTACTGAAAATTTCAAACCATCGTGCTATTTGAAAAAATAGAAAAAATTAACTTTCATTCAAGTGTGAGAGGAAATCTCATAGCGATATGTCTGAAGGGTTAACCGGCCGTTTAACCGATAGTGAAACGCGTAGTTTAGACTGACCTTAAACGGAGAATCACTGCCGCCATCTTGTCATTTTCGGAGTAATGAAATAATATTTTCGAATATAGGCTAAATAAGAATACTAGCGTAAAACCACTTATTTTGTTCAGTGAAAATATTATTATAAATAAATTTGTTATGAGTGATTATTATCACAATTGAAAAAGAAAAAAAAAAAACAATTTTTTTTATGTTTATTATTAAAAATAGAGCATAAGTGGGAAAAGGTGTAAAAATTTTGAGCCTAAAGAAAAAGGAGAACTGGTCTACTTTGTTTACCGGTACTTGCACATAATTAAAAATAAAGATTTTAGTGCTAATTTTTTTTAATATCCTCGAAGTGGAAAAATTAATAATCATTTTTTTGTGAAGCTCTGATTCAAAATTATGAACTTTGTTTATTTTTTATAGCTGGTAAATATTAATATCTTCAAGCACTTGTATTAATATAGTTCTGATCCCGTAAACTTTTTACTCTTTTATATTTTTTTGTTGCAATTAGTAGACCACAATGGATAATTCGACGGATTCATAAAGTTATGATGATGACAGTGACAGTGACCAAGATCCAATTTCTCGAGGTCCTGACCAGCGCTGGATGTTTTGTCCAACAAACGATTTTTCAAACGATTCAGGTTGGATAAATTGAATGTTCAAATGTTATTGAATGAAATTAAACATTTGTTAGAACCTCAAACTCAAAGGTAGGCATGCATAATGATAATGGTGATGAAGTTGACTCATGAATTTTCAAAAAATAATAATTTAAGAGCTTGGAATTACTATTATAAGAGTAACAGATTTTCTTTGTTTGCAGGAATACAGCTATTTCCTCAATGATCCAATTGTTATTAGCATTAAGATTTTATGCAACTGGATCGTTTTTAATTACAATGGGCGATTTTGTAGGCGTTAGTCCGATGTCTGCTTTTTGCATGGTTCATCGAGCATCAGAAGCAATTGCCAGCCTTTGTTCGGAATTTATAAAGCTTCCAACAACTCCTCAAATTGAAGCTGAATTGTTTAATATCTCTATACACAGTCTTACGGTGAGGAAAAATTTACTTTACTGTGGCTTTTTTTTTTTATATAAATTGTGCAACTGTAATCGCACTATTCACACTAACTAGTGTATCGAGTACTACTGAATATACTATTACTTAACTGAGTTCTTTATGTTTGTGCTTTACTAATTGTTACGACTACTTTTTTTTTCATTATTTGTGGGTGGAGATGATGCTGAAGTGTACCGGAACAGAAAATCATTCTTCTCAATCAATGTGCAAGCAGTCGTGAATACTAGACTGAAATTTATTGATATTGTTGCTCGCTGACCTGGTTCAGCTCGCGATGTAACAATATTCAATAATTCCAGGATTAAATATTTTTTAGATAATGGTGCCTTTGGGAATGTATTCATATTGGGTGATAGTGCGTATCCTAATGGACCATATTTGATGACACCTCTTACAGCGCCAGTAACACCTGTACAACACTTATTTAATGAAGCGTTTATTAGAACGCGCAATATTGTAGAGCATACATTTGGAGTCTGGTCGCGAAAATTTGCTGTTCTACATATAGGCTCGCGATTTCACAAAGTGGGAAGAACTTTACATATGATAATAGCAACGGCAGTGCTTCACAACATAGCTCGAAAGGTGCAGCCAGCTCCTCAGATTAATCCAAATATTTACAATGCCATTCCACAACTCCAAAACTTTCGACCTCCAGTTGGAGCAGATGTCAGGCAATATCTAATAGATACTTATCTTCAAAGGTAAATAAGTTAAATAAATATGTTTTTTATTATTCATTACTTCTTATAATTATTTCATTTTCATTCAATTTGCAGTCTATTATAATATAATTATCATCTGAACTTCGTAATTTTAACATGTAAACATCGGATTTCTGAGAAGAAATTAAGTTGTCAAGAGAACGTTGTAGACTTTTTTATGAGTATCAAGAAGAGAAGAGATCAAGAAATAGATATCCTGAAGTGCTTTAAGAATCTGTAACAAATCGAATATGTTCAGGATAATGTTAAATTCAAGAAGTTCCTATTTTTATACTCAATCGGTTATTTAAACTTTTATATAGTGAACTGTATGTATGGTGTCAGACTTTTTTGAAGACATGCAAAATTGAAAAGTCCATATATTCATATTTGATCATTTTTGACTGTGTTTTTATATATGTTATTGTCAAATTGAGAATTTAATGTAATACGAATTTATCATAATGGTTACAATAATATACGCTGATATTTATATAGAGCATATACTTACTCTGTTTTGTAATTCAATTAAATTTAGATCATTGAAGAGATGAAACTTTTAATAAAACATTAAAAAATTTGCAGCTGTTTACATTATTTTTTTGCGTATGACTTACAATTGTAAGCCATAAAAATTTGATTGAAATCAAATTTTTATACATAAATAATTCAGTAAGAAACGTTATTATATTAACAAATTCCTGACACATGAAATTACTTAAGTATAGAATGTTTTATTTACTTCTGCTATGAACAATGGAGGGAATTAATAGACAGAAGATCATATTTTCTTTTACTTTTGGGTGAAGCCAATTTTTTTATTGTTAACTTATCACAGAAATAATGATGAAATTATCTGGAAATTTACATTTTTTAATATTTTTAAAAGGAATACAATGTGCAAAATAAGTATGCGTATTTTCATGAAGATTTCCGTCTTAAATGAACCCTTTCAAAGCGAAAATCAGTGTAAGTAATTATTTTAATAAACTTCTCATATCAATTTAAAATATTGAGTAACGTTAACATATTCCAGTACTTGAATAGCTTATCAATCCAATAAATCTATTTATCGATAAAACGAGTAAATAATAATATTGAAGTGATAAACATGAAATTAATATTTACATTGCACTACGTGAACGTTTAAATGGATATACACTTTGAATATTAATTTTACGGAGTTCTTGCTGTAAAAGTTGTATGTGTAATTCTTTTTCAAGAATACTTAACTCCTCCTTTGTCAGTTTCTTTTTCAAAATTTCTATTTCTAAGTTGTATTTTTCATTACCATTTTTTACCTTCGTGTCTGCAGCTTTTCTTGCACTTTTTTTGGATTTTAATTTAATATGTTTTATTACATGATTTCCTTCTTCTCGTAATTCGTTAAAAATTGCGTCAGTATCTTCTTCATCTGATCGGTCAAGATTAATAACACTATCATTCTCTACGCAATAATCGGGCTCGATGTTTCCACAAGACGTCATTGGGGTGTGAGTTCCTTTTATTGCGTTGAACAATGGAGTGCTGACAAGAGACTTTAAGTTTTTTTTTGAGACTTTCATCTAATTGGAGATCATGTCTTTTTCCTGTAAATACTGCAAAATAACGTAATATTTCAGAATAAGCATTAAAAGCACATAAAAATAAAAACACCAATCGAACAATTACACTATATCTTCATTATTGTTAAAGATAATAATTGAAACAATTGTTAGAAACACTAATTTATTACTTTAATTACTACCAATCATGATACTTAATAATTTTATAATAATATCTCATACCGAAGATACTTCATAATTTGGATCTGCATTTTCAGTATCATTGTCAATGACGGTTTCTTTGTCTAAACCTAAAATAGTTTCTATTGTTATCTTTGTAATATAATAAATAATCGAAGTTAACTTTCAATCAAATAGAAATAAAAAAAATTATTACTCTCTTCAGCTACAAAATCGGAGTCGTATTTATTATTTAAACCACTGATGGATGAGTCGGCAATCATGCTGCTGATTCTTTCAAAAAGAGGATCCACCTCTCTCATGATGACTCCACCACCTGTTAATGTAAAATGATCATAAATTACGTTAATTGATAATAAAAAATTAATTTTATTGATAATGAACAAATAAGAGTTATTGGATTATTTTGTGAAATAAATTACCTGTAGCATAGGCTTCTTGACGCCTTTGAGCATTGCACTGCCTAGTCAATTTTTTCAAATTATCCCACTGAGTTTTTAGATTATCAACAGGACGTTGATATTCTAGTTTAGCATTGTACGCTTCACAAATTGTTCGCCATGTAGCATCTTTCAATCGATTATTAACTGTATTTGTTTTAATAATAAACATAAAAAAAATTGTTTTTTTTTTTCTTTTTCAATTGTGATAATAATCACTCATAACAAATTTATTTATAATAATATTTTCACTGAACAAAATAAGTGGTTTTACGCTAGTATTCTTATTTAGCCTATATTCGAAAATATTATTTCATTACTCCGAAAATGACAAGATGGCGGCAGTGATTCTCCGTTTAAGGCCAGTCTAAACTACGCGTTTCACTATGGGTTAAACGGCCGGTGAAACTTTACTCGTGGTACTCGGCCTATGATTCTGAACGTACTAATGTCTTAGCTTACACTTTCATGTGCTAGTTGAGAGAAAAAAAAAGATTGTTTGTAACTTCTAACTATGAAATTATAATTATAATTTATATGCGTTGTTCTAACGTATAATTATATAGTACATTGTTAAAGCTGGTATCAATGTATCAACTCTGTATAGCCAAAATGAATTTTGTCAGGTTCGAGGTGCTTAATGAAAAATAAAAAAAAATATCAGTGCTCTGCAGTGGTCTGGGTGCGACCCGAAAGGTCCACACAACTAACTTCCCAGTGGGAAAAATGAAAAAACAAATCGAATAGAACCCGTTTCCATTCTTCATAACAAATGGAATTGTTATAAACGAAATGAGTCTGTTTTTATTCATTTGATACGGTTAGTTACTTTATTTCAGTAAAAGAAAAAATTGTGCGTTAGAAGAATTCGAATATACCTCATAGATCCTTTTTACACGCACATACGTACATATACACACACAGACGTCCACTGTAAAACGATCGTCTTCGACTCTGGGGACCTTAAAACGTGGAGATATGTCAAAATTCGGGATTCGCAAAATCGGACCCATTACTATATCTTCCCACTGGGAAGTTAAAAAATAAATTTTTTGATTTAGTGTTTAATACATAAAAGTAGAAGAAAAATTGTTCATAACAAATTATCGAACAGTCATAAAAAAAAATTTTTTTTTTTTGAAGTTTAGGATCCTTTCTACTCAATAATGACTTAGTAGTTCACGCTATAGTTTTAGTATATATTTTACTGAGTACAGATTACACGCGGAATCTCAGTTCGATGTGAATATCCCACCGCCTTGCTGTGAATGAAAGATTATTAGAACACATAAACCTACTCTGATCTGTTTTTTTATGTGACAACAATAATTACCGTGCTTTTATCTATTACAGGATGCAGTGCTAACAACATTACCGCATATCGGTCACTTCATGGCAGCATTAACATGCGGATTATTAGTTGATCATGTTCGAGAGTCTGGAATTGTTTCTACTACTACAGCACGAAAACTGGTGGTTTATACAGGTAACAGGACAAGATGATATTCTTTAATGAGAAGAAAATTTAATTAGAGTTTTATTCAAACGGTTGATTCTATTCCTCTGAATTGGTCGTTGTTTTTCAAAGTGACTCAACTGCTCGTAAATGGATACAATGTATTATCAAAGAATTTAGTTTGTTTTTGTTTTTTTTTCATTTAAACATTTTGAGTAAAAAGCTTATAAGATTTTCTTTATCATATCGAAATAAAGATAACTCATTTCATTTACGTAAAAACATGAAAAAAAATTTTTCGTCATACCTGCGCGAGAAGTTTACTTTTCATTAGACAGGAGTTTAACTTCTCACACAGGTATGATAAAAAATCATATTTAGCCCTGAGGAGTACAGTTAGACTAGCTTAAACCACGTATTTACCACCCTTGCTCTCGGCTCGGGTCGTAATTTGACACCTCGTTTAAGCTAGACTACTTTTTCTTCCTAGGTGTGGAATATACTATATTTACAAGTTAGTACAGTGGGTGCTGATACACTGCATGCTTCAGTTCACTGTCTCGCCTCAAGTCCCTATCTGCCCTTCCACGCTAGTAGTGTACAAACGAGCTTGCCATTTGACATTTACATTTAAATGAGTAAATACTTTTAAAAATTAAAAAAGCAAACTGACACGGTGGTCTAGTAAGTACAGCGTCAGTCTGGCACTCAAGGCCTTTTAATCGAAGGTGTAAGCTATCATGCTGATGACTGAATAGTACAAAAAAGTATTGTATACAGTCTTAACTGAGCAAGAGGCTCTGCACACGTGGACCTCAAAATCTCTCACACTCTCTCTCTCTCGTTATTTTAAATTGATGCTGAGGAAACCAGGGACCCCTGAAGTAACCAGTGGAATCTCTAAAGGTAGGACAATTTCTTGTAGAACTGGGACGACAACTAGGGTTGACCCTAATCCTATAGATCTTGCCTACCTAATGCTGAGGAAACTGGAGGGCCACGGAACTGGTGAAATCTCCGGAGGCAAAAAGATAACATTCAATTTGAATCAGCATGAAAAGCAATTTAGAAACGTGGGAACTGAAGCCTAAAATATGAGACGACTGCCTTTACTATGCAAACAGATCCAGCACAATGGCCTCGAGGCTCAGCGCTGGGGAAGGCGGGACATTTTAAAAAGACACCTCCTTCCATAAAAAAAAACTTACATGATTATCAATTATGGATTAGCATGGAGAATAACGATGTAGGAAATTAAATAACCTGTGATACTTTTCTTGCTTTTACTCGTACTTATATACATACGTACGTGTTCAAACCTTCCAATATGCTTTCAAATGTTCCCTATTAAATCTGAATCTAAAGTTCACTTGGACCATTCACCCTTCAAAATCTGAGTAAATGATAAATAAGCGATAAATAAAATACAAGTTTGAAATCTGAAGTGTTAAAAATTCTAAAATCTGTGAAAAATAGTATATATATATTCAAAGTAGAGAACTATTTTCATGGAAAAAAAATTGTGAAATTCCTTTCTCTCCGTTTTGTTTATAAAATCTTCAAACAAAGTTACGTACAATTCATCTTCTATAAATACTTTCTTTCGTTGAACAAATTGAATATCTACTTCACCAGTTATAATAAGGTGCGGAAAAATACAACAACTAAATACTACAACTAAATTATCGTCAAAGAAATACCATTTATCTAACAAACAATAGGTAGGGAAAAAAATCGTTGAAAGACACAGAATAAGCTAATTTTTTAAGAAAAAGTCGATAATATTGAAGGAATTAGATGGTTATATATTTGAATATCTGACATAATTCTTAGAAAAGACGCATCAATAATCAACTATGGCAAGATCCACATTTTAAAGCAAGTAGTGTTTTGAAAATTGGAACGCTCGGAAAGACATTACATCATTAAGGATTACAGTAGAGAAGATGTCAACAACCTTTACAGCTGCAAATGATTATTTTCATCATCTAGCCAATATTGTATCGTCTCCTTATTCACGCTAAAGTGTTGAATTTTGATAAGACGAGTTGAATCATAATATCACTACTTACAATAACATTGAATGGATTTAAACATTTTAATTGAATGGTGTAAAACTATTTGCAATTCAAATACTTATACCAGGTATTATCAGACATACTCTCTTATTATCTTATCTGTTACTGTTAATTTAGTGGTTAATAAATAGTTATTTGTTAAATAGTGTTAGTTGATTCATTTACATCCATTTAACGGTCCTAACTGTTGTAGCATCCTCCTAACAAATGGAGTTTACGTAATTTTAATTACCGTCAGTACAATAACAAATTAATTAGTATGAATTCTTGATGCAGTAACAGTAAAGGTGGATAATTTGGAATATGAAGAAGATTTTATAGTACAGCAAATGATATCAACACTAATACAACTTAAGAACTACGAAAATGCTCACCAAACATGTATCTAGAGCAGCAGTAGATACTCAGCGCTAAGTGACCCGTACATTTTTCCCCTCACCTAACTATTGCTCCATGTCTAACTAGCGCGCTCTTGCAGCGTCATTTACAGTGCCAAGAGACACGCAACCCTATACTGAAAAGTTCGTGCGTGACGTCACAGCGCAATGTTTAATTGTAAATATCTCGATAACTAATCAACAATACAGGATGACTTTCTGTAAAGAAATGGCGCCACACCACTGTTGTTTGAAAATCCGATATTTTTAAATTGTTCTACATGCAAAAAATGTTTGAAATCATAAAATTGCGCCAAGTTCAACTTGCTATAATCGCAAAACCATCAAATTGTTTCTATCAATTGTTTAATAACAAAAACGAAGTGTGCGTAAGAAATTGTAGTTCGAATGATTGGAATATTGATAAGCATTAGCTAGCATAAATCTGATCCAGAGTTTTTTTTAAGAGTTTGTTGTATCCCACCAAAACTGCCATCATCGGATGAAAGTAAAACTTTTCGCCGTGTACACGTCCCAAATGACTCATCATCTATAAAATCATGTCTTCTTTTTCTTTTATTTTGATGAATTGCGTAAGATAATACTTTTTCAAATTTTCTTCAAATAATTTTGTAGATAAAAATTTACGATAAATTTTTTTTGCAATCAATTTTCACTTAATTTGAAAATGCAGCTAGATAAAAAAAATTTTATAAGACGTGGCCTAATTAACAAGAGTTATGTCCGAACAGTTTCTATCAATAAGGAACATAACAAAAATTTAATAAGTCACTGAATCAGCAACCGGGGCTACGGGATATATTTTAAATATTTACTTTTTTCCAATAACTCTCTATATCAGATTTAATAATATTGATTAAAAACAAATAATAAAAACCTATGATATCGTGAAATTGCCGTGGTAACTTTATACGAAAGATCAATAAATAACAAAAAAAGTTTCTTTTAAATTTATTTTCTTCCGTCAGTATCCTTCATTTAATCAAAGCTCGCATTTACGATAAAACAACTTAAATTTTTTGTTATTATCTCGAGTTCGATTATTTATTTTGAATTCTATTAGTATTAAGTATAGAAGTTTTTCCATTCTATTAAAACTTATGAAATTTTCCCGGGGAATCGTAGGACTATGGAAATGGTTCCCTATGGCACATAACAACAACAAAATCATCAATTAAGTTGGAGATTCTATAAGAATGTCCAATAAATAAATTAGACGAAAAAAAATCGTTTTTTCTAAAAGAAAACTTACTTTTTTTTTACAAAAAAATTTAAATTGACCAATTAGAACAGTGTCATCATTTTATTTTACAGAGGGAATGATTTTTGAGGACTTTTTTTCAACAGTATTCAATAAACTTCTATTTGGTATAGTTTCTTGCCAGATTCATAATTTTGTGGTTTTTAAGACGTTTTTAGGACTGTTTTTGGATAATATGATGATTATCTACAAGTCGTTAACCATCATTTTATTACACGCAGAGAAATGTATAGTAAAAATTACCCGGAATTTTATAGTAATTTGGTGACACTGCAGGGTGAGGGTAAAAATTACTATACACATTATAAAAATGACTGTGCACATTGTAAAAATTACTAAACTGCATAAAAAAGCCAAATATGATATGCTAAAACTGAACTGTAACCGAAACAAATAAGTTGTTGTAACTGTAACAAATGAGTTGTTAAATTTTTAACTTGGAACACGAACAAAACTGATTTAAATTCTGAAAAAATGATCAATAAGAGTATCAGCTCTAAATTATTATTATTAATACTTTAACAGTATCTACGATTGTATTTTTTTTTAATTAGTTATGAGCTAGGAGATTCCCGCGACTTTGTTTACGCAATGTGTAGAATTGCGTTTGATAGTGATAAATTGATCGAATTTTTTCTGCATAGTAATCTCCTAAATAAAATGAAACGATTAAGATGCACATTGCAACGTGATATATAGCATAGATTTCGTTTTTCTTTATTTATAACAAATTAAATCGTTATAAACGGAAGAAGTAGGTTTCTATGCATTTTTCTGGTTTGTAACGTTATTTTAGTAAAAGAAAAAATTACGCGTTAGATGAACTTCAATGTATAGCATGGATTTCGTTTCATGAATGAAAATATATTTTTTTTATTTATAACAATTGAATTTGTTGCAACCATTAATTAAAAAACGTTATCTATGCAACAAATTCAAGCTCATTTAACGAGAAATTTCTTGTATTATTGTTGATAGGAAATTACAACTTATATAGAATAAATGTAATCGAATATTTTATTTATTACAATTGCTTTTCTTCTAAATGAGCGTATATTGAATTTAATATAGAATTCGACTTAATACTGGTTTTGATTAATACACACAAATTTATTCTTTCTCTTTTTTGTTTTATATCAGAGTATTATGTATTTGAAACTGGCTCATTTAAATGATGAAATTATTATTTAAAACTTCACTCAATCAATTGATTTTTACATTACGTAATTTTAGCAAAATTATAACAGTTAGGACTGTTAAACGGATGTAAATTAATCAACTAACACTATTCAA